CTGATTCCACTCAGTTTGAAGTAACCTGGCTAAAACAGCTTGATTACTGGTTCTTGGTGAACTCCTTATCAATGTTACTGATTACACTCAGTTTGAAGTAACCTGGCTAAAACAGCTTGATTACTGGTTCTTGGTGAACTCCTTATCAATGGTACTGATTACACTCAGTTTGAAGTAACCTGGCTAAAACAGCTTGATTAGTGGTTCTTGGTGAACTCCTTATCAATGTTGCTGACACCATTCAGTTTCAAGTGACCTGGCTAAAACAGCTTAATTAGTGGTTCTTGGTGAACTCTTTCTCACTGTTCCTGATTCTGCTCAGTTTCAAGTAACCTGGCTAAAACAGCTTGATTAGTGGTTCTTGGTGAACTCCTTATCAATGTTACTGATTCCACTCAGTTTTAAGTGACCTGGCTAAAACAGCTTAATTAGTGGTTCTTGGTGAACTCCTTATCAATGTTACTGATTCCACTCAGTTTTAAGTGACCTGGCTACAACAGCTTAATTAGTGGTTCTTGGTGAACTCCTTATCAAGTTTACTGATTCCACTCAGTTTGAAGTAACCTGGCTAAACAGCTTGATTAGTGGTTCTATGTGAACTCCTTATCAATGTTACTGATTCTGTTGCTGATTCTGCTCAGTTTCAAGTAACCTGGCTAGTAACATTGATAAGGAGTTCACCAAGAACCACTAATCAAGCTGTTTTTCAAGCTGTTTTAGCCAGGTTACTTCAAACTGAGTGGAATCCTAGTGGTTCTTGATGAACTCCTTATCACTTTTGCTGATTCTGCTCAGTTTCAAGTAACCTGGCTAAAACAGCTTGAATAGTGATTCTTGGTGAACTCCTTATCACTGTTGCTGATTCTTCTCAGTTTCAAGTAACCTTGCTAAAACAGCTTGATTAGTGGTTCTTGGTGAAGTCCTTATCACTGTTGCTAATTCCGCTCAGTTTCAAGTAACCTGGCTAAAACAGCTTGAATAGTGGTTCTTGGTGAACTCCTTATCACTGTTGCTGATTCCGCTCAGTTTCAAGTAACCTGGCTAAAACAACTTGATTAGTGGTTCTTGGTGAACTTCTTATCACTTGTTGCTGATTCCGCTCAGTTTCAAGTAACCTGGCTAAAACAACTTGATTAGTGGTTCTTGGTGAACTTCTTACCACTGTTGCTGATTTCGCTCAGTTTGAAGTAATGTGGCAATAACAGTTGTTAGTTTAAAGTTTTCCTTCCAATGTAATACTAATCCACAGTTTCTATCTTTCCAATTTTCTGACGAATAGATAACTTCCATAATTTCGTATTTGTTTAGTTATGTGACACCTATATCACAATTTGCGCGTTCTGTTATTCCTTCTGATCTGGGCCGATTTAAAGTATTTAGAGTCCTGTACACTGTGAAACCCCCCCCCCTCCATAAATTGAGCCTAGCGTGTAATATACAGAACATAAATTTCAGAACATCTCCTTATATTCATATTAACAAGAGTAACATTTTTCTCAGCAGAAAATATACAAGCACCATTGACACTGCATATAAATAATCTGGTATCGTATATGAATATTTAAATAAATCCTTGTACCCCGCCCTCATGAAAGTAACGGGCCGAGAAAGCATTGCAATCATTGTGAAACGCAAATAAGTGAACAACGTTTATACGTATTCTTCATTTGGGCCGATTCTGATTATCCTGTACAACTACTACTCAAATTTTGATGAGGTAATTCTTCTTTGTGCTAATCTGAGCTTGCTTCTAATGTAACACCTATCTCACACCTCGTACGTCACAGGTATTCATTCTGATATAACACTTATCCCTCAGTCTGTAAGCTACTGATATTTATTCTGATATAACACTTAATCCCACACTCTCTACGTTACCAGTATTCATTCCGATATAACACTTATCCACAGTCTGTAAGTTACTGATATTTATTCAGATATAACACTTATCCCACAGTCTGTAAGTTACTAATATTTATTCAGATATAGCACTTATCCCACAGTCTGTAAGTTACTAATATTTATTCTGATATAACACTTAATCCCACACTCTCTACGTTACCAGTATTCATTCCGATATAACACTTATCCACAGTCTGTAAGTTACTGATATTTATTCAGATATAACACTTAATCCCACACTCTCTACGTTACCAGTATTCATTCCGATATA